CTCCCAAGCAGCGCACTGTAGCATGCGCCACCGGGCCGGCCCCTTGATTTTTTTTTTTTTTTTCCTTTTTGTCTTTTTCCGTGTCCGGCAATGGATCGCAACCCTCAGTGTCGCCCCCGTACTGGACCGGGACCAGCAATAAGATCGCAACCCTCGGTACTATAGCAGTGCGCCACCGGGCCGGCCCTTATGGATTAGATCTTTAAATGTGAAAACTATTTATATTAGAGAAATTTACCAACTTATTTTCATACGAAATGTTTCAAAATTGATGACCAATTTCCCAAAGGAAAGCAGAGCAGTGATATGCCCTTACCTGGGTTCGAAGTTTCACATTCTACATAGTGTACCAGGTAAATATTGTTCAGCATTTCTTTCTCCCACCTCATCATCCCACTGCTTTTTCCCTTTCATTGCCACTGTGTCCTGGCATGCAATGCAATCCGCTCAAGGGTATTCCATTTTTAATAAACTCACCTTTTCTCTCAAACTTTTCCCAGAATACATATTCCATTTACCTACTTTAATTAAAACCTTGTGTAAGGAAGATACTTGCAAGCAAAGCCAACATTCTTTCTACTAAAGGTGCTAAGTCCTAAGGTGGTGGTGGTGGGGTCACCATTTTTATCATTTTTCTTCTACACCATAGTAACCTAAAAATATTTTCTTTTAAGCTTATGTCATTTGGCCCAGTGGTTCTCAATTTGGAAGCATTTGGAAATGTAGGGGGTATTTTGTTGTCAAAATGACAGAGAAGTGCTATGGGGAGATAAGTCTCCTATAGGTCTCTTGATTTTCTACAAATCTTACAAGCAGAGGTACCTTTGTTCCAGACTACCTTTTCAAAGAGATTTGTATACCAAGTACCCTTGGAAAATAGAAATTGTGTCTCTTTCTAGATCACATGACAGGCTTACTTATTGCACAGTATAATAAAGAAATGTTTACTTAGAAGTAAAGGTCAGGCAGGTTTGCTTACTGTCCAATTTTAAAAGATTTGTATTTCCTGAGCTTGGGGATTCTCAGCTATAATACAAATATGTATTACAGCATCCATCTAGGCCCCTCCATATAGACCCTGTGGGCCTTGGGGAATAAGGGGAACTGATGCAAACAAGAAGCTCTTGTTGCTTGCTATGTGGTGAGCAATACAATCCTTTGTCTCTCACCCAGGAATCTCAAATCTTCTGCTAGCATCCGTGAACCTGTGGCAGGCTAACTTGGCAGCTTGAAAATAAAATGAAATTTCAGACCTTTCATAGTTCTTGACAAGTGTACTTCCCATTTGCTGCTCAGAGGCTAGGACGGATATTTTGGAATGGACAGTGAAGCTTTGGAATGCACAGGCTAGGACTGCCCCACTCAAAATGCCAAAAGCTCCCACTGAGAAACACCAGGCTTTTAAACCATCTTCTAAATCTCCTGGGGTTATCAACTATCAATATGTTGGTCATTGCCCAACATTCATTAGGGATTTTGACACCAAGTTGTCTTTCTACTCCTAATCCAGCCATATGACCATGTTTTCAAGCCACTCAACGTAATAGCTCTGCTTGACTTTCTTAACTCTAAAAACTTTCACTCCAATTCAGAAAATTACATGCATGGGCCCTCTAGACTCTGGCATTACTGCAAACCATTTAAACTCAGAAATCCTAAATCCTATTAACCTACTCTCTGACCATAACTTTGTACTATGCTGGTACAAGGCATAGTGATTCTCTTGCTCCTAATCATATTCTTCCACCTTTTAAAGACCTCTGTGCAAGTTTTCTCGGCTAATCTCTGGGTTTCTCTTTCATGCCATCCAGCCTAGATATCCATTATCATCATTACCATTATCTTTCACAATCTGGTCCTTCTGTAACACCCACCCTTGCAAAACCCAACGCCTACATTAATATAATTTTTAACCCCAATATCTGGCCAGCTGAACACTGTTGAAGAAAAACCACCCAGTCATCTGGACTGGTGCCAGTTCAAATTCATTATCTCCACACTCAGTCTGACTCTCAAAGATTCCCAGCGATTATTCTTCACAACCTTATTTCTAAACTTTTACCTCGCTCCTCAAATCTCCCACTGCACCATCATCCCCCTCTATGACTTTGTCTCCTACTTCAGTAAAAGAATAGCTATCAAATGAGAACTTTCTCAATTAATCCTATCAGTTCAAATTTGCCTGAGCTGATATCCATCTTCTACTCTTCCCCATCTATCTCAGTGGAAGAGCTAACCCTCCTCTTATTCCATTCTCCCTCAATTTTGTTCCCTATCCCTGCCTCAGCAGCCTCAATGATACCCTCTTCTACTTCCTATTTCTTCTCTACTTGCTCTTTACTCTTAGTATATAAATAAAACTTCATTTCCTCCCATTTTAAACTCCCTCTATCCTGCTTCCTCCCTGATGGCCATTCTAACTCTCAAGATCTATCAAGCCAAGTTTCTTGAAAGAATAGCCTATGCTTATGATTTTTACTGCCTTATCTTCCATTTATTCATATATCACTCCAGTCTGATTTCTGCTCACCCCACCCTATTAAATATGCATTTTGCTAAGGTTTTTGATCTTTCACGACCACCATATTGCCAATCCAATGGTTTTCTTTTCTATCCTTACCTTACTTGATTTCTCTGTGGTGCTAGACACTGTTGATCATTCTTTTCTTTTTGAAATTTTTTTCCCTCTGACTTCTGATACACCATGCTCTTCTAGTGGGTTTATTCCCCCCCATCTCTCCAGTCACCCTTCCTCAGTTTTTTTCTGTGGTTCCTATTAGCAGCTCATCTTTCAATGTCGATGTTGCCTAGAGTTCTGCGTTTGGTTTCTATCCCTCAGACACCCCTTAAGTCTCATGTTTTATTCAGCTCTCCCCTTGTATTTTATAGTCCAGCCATGTAAAATGTGCAGACCCTGACAAAGCTATCTACTTTTACTTCTAGGCCTTTGCTAATATTTTCCTCCTTGTCTGGCTGATTCTCCTTTGACCTTTAGGTGTCACCTGATATGATCCTTCAGAGAATCCTGCCTGACTCCTTCTCCATTTCTCTCACCCCCTATATTCTCCAAAAAAAAAAAAAAGAGTTAGGTCCTCCTCCTTTATTTTCCCATAGCACCCTGTACTTTGTCAATTTTAGCATATATAATATCGCATTTTACATTTCCATCACTAGACTGTAATGTTCTTCTAGACAGGGTGCTTGGTACAATGTCTGGCATAAGTGCTCAATTAATATCTATTGAATAAAGTCCATTTTTTCCCTCTCTAAACAGTTATCTTGGGTAACTTAAAAATCCAAAGCTTCACCTATGACCTGTATATATTTGATTTCCAAATTTCAATTACTTGCCCAACCTCTCTAGTGAGTTTCAGATTTAGATATATAACTCCAAATTTCCAGTCACCAAGTTTTATTGATTCTGCTGCCTAAACAATTCTTGTATTTATCCCCACCCTTTCCATCTTCTTTAATTCAGAGTCTTACCATGTCCCACCAAGATTTCAGCCATAGCTTCCTAACTAGTCTTCCTGATTCCAAGCTATCTTCCCACATTGCTGTAAAAGAAAGTTTTCTAGGAGGTAAAATTGACCACACTATTCCCAAACTTAAAATCTTTCAGTACTTTCCCATATCTTTCAGAATAAAGTACAAGTTTCTTGAAAGTATTATGTGGTTTCTCAGCTCCATACACTTGCACATGTTGTCCTTTCTGCCTACGAGAGCTCTTCTTCCTTTTCTTTGCCATAGCAAGCCTCACCTCAAGTGTTATTCCTTCTAGGAACCCTTTCTTGACCCCTTGATTTAACTTAAATTTTGACACAAATATGCGCTCTGACTACAAGTATGTTTACTTTTTTCACTGACCTTATTAAATAATATCCCTTATTTACAAATTTACTTACCAGTCTCGAATAAACTCAGTGAAGGCTGGGATCATATTCCATTGAAATAAATTTAGTAGGCACTAAGTAAATATGTTTCAATAAATAAATTGTGAAATTATTCTCTAAACAACACTCATGTTGCATAAAATTCTATTCTCTGAATTATGATTATAAATGGATTTACAGTCTGATACCCTATATACACTCAAATGCATTTACCAAATTCAGGCCTTGAGGCATAAATCTTGTTAAATATCCATATTTGTAATCTACTAACTACATATAAACATTACATACCACACACTTCACCATTCGATTTTACTGATCAAAACTTACAGGTTTTGGCTTCTCTCTTGAGTTACATTTTTTCAAATGCTTTGTTAGTTGATCTTCATATACTGTGCTAAATTTAAAAAGAAAATTATTTAAAATAAGTCTTGTGACAATTACCATTTCCAGCACAGAAAAACCCTTATCTGATCCATACTTACTGTTTTGGATCTAATGGACACAAGATTCTTTTCCGAGCATTTTCTTCCTAACAAATTAAAAGGAATACATTTATTTCCACAAAATATCAAGTTTACTACCTACAGATTCAAGATATAACTTCAGTGTATCTGCATTCTCAAAACAAGGTAAGGAATCATTAAAAGGATATAACAAAAAATTGGCAAAATCAGGCCACAGGGTTTAATAATAACAAAAAATCTCCAATGTAGCTGGCTTATAGATATACGAACAAATACTGCTTTGGATGAACAAGGGTGTATAGCTTCAAACTGGATATAGAGAAGGACTATGTATGGAATTTTGACTCTAAAATAACATCAACTATATATATTTTATGTACCACCAAGAAAGAAAAAATGCTACCCATTTATTTTATTTTTAGTTAACTTAATAGACAAGTAAAAATTGTATATATTTATTGTGTACAACATGATGTTTTGAAATACGTATATGTTGTAGAATGGCTAAATCAAGCTAATTAACACATGCATTACCTCATACAGTTTGTGGAAAATGCTGTCCATTTAAATTATGAGATATTCATTTTAAGATACATCCTGATTTTAGAGATGTTAAAATAATTTTTTAAAAAGCATCTTAGGGGCCGGCCCGGTGGCGCACTGCTACAGTGCGCCGCTTGGGAGCGCGGCGGCGCTCCCGCCGAGGGTTCGGATCCCACATACAGACCGGTTCCCGCTCACTGGCTGAGCGAGGGGTGGGCGTGGCACCGAGGGTTGCGATCCCGTTGCCGGTCCCGGTCCGGTGCGGGTGCGACACTGAGGGTTGCGGTCCGTTGCCGGACACGAAAAAAAGACAAAAAAAAAAGCGTCTTAGAAACAAGGATGGCATTTTAATCATTTGGTGCATGTCATATTCTATTGGCTTTGCAACTTTTCAGTATAGTAGAGTTATATCCTGTTCATTTCTAAGTTACATGGATTTAACTATATGCACTAGGAAAAAAGACAGGAAAATTAATAGTGCTTGCAGTTCTACCCAATATTCTATATGAATCTGTATGAATAGAATAGTATACAAGTTAAAACCACGGGCCAGCCGGACTGCCTAGATATGATTCCTACCTCTATGTATCAGCTACTAGCCCTAAGACCTTGGGTAGATTTATTGCCTCATCTGAAAGAAGAGAACAATAACATGTCTTACCTCCTAAGGTTTGTAAAAACAAAGTGAGCTAGTAGTCAAACAAAACAAAACAAAACTGTTCAGTACAGTGCTGGCTACAGAGTAAATGCTAAGTGTTTGCTGCTGTTATTATTATTAATTCTTTTTTCAATTTATTTCAGTTCTGATGTGACTCTCAGCATGTCCACAAAGCAATGTACACCGAATTTCATGAGAAAGCTAAGAAATTTTCAATTTCTTTTGAAAATACTGTCTACTTTTCAATTAAAATAAAAAACTTCACGTTATTTCTTTCTTATCTGCTGACTTTAAAACCTAACCTCTGTGTAAGAGATTATTCTAACCACCAAAACCTAACCATAGAGTGGGGGAAAAACACGTTTAAAATTATTATTTGGGTGTAGAAACAAGGTTTCTCAACCTTGGCATTACTGACATTTTGGACTAGATAATTCTTTTGGGGGTGTGGGGGTGTGGTCTTGTGCTTTGTAGGAGGTTTAGCAGCACCTCTGGCCTCTACTCATTAGATGTAACACTCCCCAGCTGTGACCACCAAAATGTGTTCAGACATTGCCAAGTGTCCACTGGGGTGGCAAAATCACCCCCAGCTGAGAATCACCGAGTAAAAATGAATGCAAGTAGTATCATTGCAGCTATATATGACACTTAAGAAAAAGAGATGGAAACAAAACACCCAATTACATCATAAATTACATATTCAGGAGGATTGCCTCGCCTCAAAACCAGATCATAGTCATGGAAAGTTTTTCCACTTGGTGTTTTGCAACCTTTCTTCAAGGGACTAATAATGTCATTCCCATCTAGGAATACTGATCGGGCTGTAAGGATTTATTCATATTTTACTATTGCCATCTGCATTTGCCTTCCAGATGTAGGGGAAGGTGAAGTCTAAGGCTTTGTAACAGAATGGGAACAAATCCTTCTACCATAAATTTCATTCTTTAACCAAGGGATGTTTGCTGATCCCCTCAAAACCAGCCAGTACAATTGTGGGTATACTTCAAATAGTTTCCACAATAAGTCACATGTCTCCCACATTCCAAAATGAGAATGGCAGATGAAAGGGCTCAGGGGACTGATCTGCACTGGATATTGCCTTGAAAGATGAACTGATTAAGGAAGAAAATAATGCAAATAATACTGAACATTCATAAGGCATGAAACCAGATGCTGGCCTATTTGGTTTATTCTTTCTAGTTCTATTAGACATGCTTTTTTCCCCCTTCCTATCAGCATTCTGCTCCTCTTGTTCTTATTTTTGTTTTCTTATCATATACGTATATTCTAAAGTAATATATATACATACAAATATATATCGTTTGATAGTACAATTAGCTTCTTTCAGCCGCATTCACAAGAAGTGGTTATCATTCACGAAAAAGTAATTAGAACACAATTAGTGAAACCTTGGGACTTCCATCACTTTCTCTAAACCATCATTTCCCATCAGGCGAGGGTGGGCAAAGCGTAAGGAGCCGTAGTTCGGTGTAAGATTAAAATCCAGCATTATGATGAGTTAGGATCAAGATAAATGGGTCACTGCTGGAGCTTTACTTTTAGTAAAAGAAAACACTGCTCATCACTAGGGCCCATCATCGCTCTGCAAGGACAGAACAGAGTCAAAGTAAAAAAGCTGGAGAATCGAGGGGACAGAAGCAGAAACCTGTCAAAGAGGGGAGGGGCCGGGTTCCAGCACCGACCGGACCGGGAAACTTATTTCCGACTCTCGGGAGGGTAAGACGATACCAGACCTCCGCGGCTGCAGCGTGTTCACCACAGAACCTTTTCCCTGCGGCCACCACCATCCGGCAGAACCGCTTCTTCTTTTCCACATAATAACCGCATCTACCTTCAGCTGGAAAACCCGTCGCGTGAGGTGTAGGAGCAGAAGCCGCCATAATTCAGGGCCCGCTTCGGGTGGCGAGCTTCTGGCGACCAGAGGAAAAGTTGTCAGCTTCCTTCGGTACCCCTTCCCTTAACAAACATGGCTGCCTCGGGTGCCGCCTCACAGGTTAATGCCCGGAACTGCCGCAACCACCTTTGCCCCGTCTGGAAAACCGGAAAAAACTGATGGTGGCTGGCGAGGTTCAAACCTCCTTCGTCTTTCCCTCGTTTCTCTCTCCCCGCCTCCTCCGCGGCAGCTGAGCGCCAAACTCAAACTCTATCAGGACCCAGACGCCTTTCAGGCTAGTACGGAGGGCCGGGCCTGTTGGGCTTTTCCGCACACCGGCCGGGGCAACGGGCGAACATGAGCGAAGTTCTGTTCCAGCAACTAGTCCCGTTGCAGGTGAAATGCAAAGACTGCGAGGAGAGGTGAGGTTGGCGTCACCCGGTGCAGCGGGTGGCGGTTGGGGTCGGGCCAATGCGGAAAGATGGCGGCTCTGGATAGTGGGCACCGGCCTGCGGCGGGGTGGCCGGGCGGCCCCCAGGGCGCGGAGAGGGGGCCTAACTGGGACTTAATGGTTACCTGTCTCACCAAGTTTGCTGTTGCAAGGGGACGGAAGGAAGGGTGTGAGGAAATGGGAAGCCGACTGATACCAGGTTAATGTCCTAAATCCTAGCTCTGAATGGAATCGTGCAGGTTATAGCCCTCCTCTTCCCTTTTGACAGATAACTCCGGCCTAGAGAAGTGATATAATTTAGGCGAGGACTCACAGCAAGTTCAAGGCAGGGTTAGCACTGGAACTCAGGCCTGGACTTCCAGCCTCCCTCCGCCCTGTCCCCCCCACCCGCCTGTCTCCTTTGGGGTATGTCGAAAGTAAATTTAAACTTCAATTAAAAAAATAAATTTCATGGTGTACTTTGGCTTTTCTTCACATTAGTTACTAAAAAACTTACAGTAAATTACACTCAGCCTACTAAAAATGAGAAAATCAGAAATTTCACTAATGCATTCGATAAATATTGCCTACTTGTTAAACAACCTTACTAGGCACTGGGGATACCGTGGTCGGGAAAAACAGTCCTTTTCTTCACGGAGCTTACAGTTCAGTGGAGGAAATAAAGAAAGGCCAGTCTCACAGATAAATGCAAAATTGCAACTTTGCTATTGGGGCTTAAGTAGAGAGATTTGACTAGAAGTCAGGAGATTTAAATTTTTTTCTCAGTTGCACCACTCATTAGCTGTGTCTTGGCTTTTCTGAACGTTATGTTTCCTCATTTGTGAAACTGGTATAATCACATGCCTACTCACATGGTTGTAGTGAGGATGAAGTGTCAAAATGTATGTGAAAACTAGGTGGTGTGGAAATGTAACATAAAAAATGACTTACTGAATTGCCAGTAAAATGAAACTATAGTATATAGTTCATAATTAGGTCCAAAATCAATTTGCAAGCCAGACAAGGATTTGGTACCAAAACCAGCAGCCAACTAGATCTGTAGGTCATTTTGGTTGGTCATTCTTTTGTGCTGTCCAGTATGGCAGCTACTAGCCACATGCCATTATTGGACATTTGTAATCTGACTTGATGTACTGTTAAGTATAAAATGCACATTGGATTTTGAAGACTTACTATGAGAAAAAAAGAATAAGATATCTGAATAATTTTTATATTAATGTGTTAAAATGGCAATATTTTGGGTTTATTGGGTTCAATAAAACATTATTAAAATTAATTTTACCTGCTTTTATTTTTTTAATATGGTTTCTAGGAAATTTAAAATTAAATATATGGTGGGGCCGGCCTGTGGCTCACTTGGGAGAGTGTGGTGCTAATAACCCCAAAGCCATGGGTTCGGATCCCTGTATAGGGATGGCCGGTTAGTTCACTTGGGAGAGCGTGGTGCTGACACCACCACATCAAGGGTTAAGATCCCCTTACCGGTCATCGTTAAAAAAAAAAAAAAAAATTTAAATATATGGCTCACATTTGTGGCCTGCATTGTATTTTTGTTGAGCAACACAGTTCTAGAATTATTATAGAAAGATAAAAGTAATGGGGCATCACTTCTGATTCCAGTATTGAAACTCCTAGCTCTTCTGCATTTAATTACATTGTCATCACTTTTAATCTTCTTAAAACACAATTTTAACCTTTTTATTCTTCCTGTTTAGAAGCTTTTCATGTATTCCTATGACCTATAGCAGGGATCAGCAAACTGGAATACAGGTTTGTTTTTGTAAATAAAGTTTTGTTGGAACACAGCCATGCTCATTTGTTTATGCATTTGTCTGTGGCTGCTTTTGCACAACAAGGGCAGAAATGAGTAGCTGTGACAGAGACCTTATGGCCTGCAAAGCCTAAAATATTTTCTCTCTGGCTCTTTTCAGAATAGTTTGCTGACCCCTGACCAATAGAAAGAAGAACCCAGATTCTTTAGTTAAGTATTCAAGGCCAGTTCAGCTCAACAAATATTGCAAATGCCTTCTATGAACCAGGAACTGTCCAAGGTGCAGAAGATATAAAGCTCCCTCTTACTCCCACTCCCCAACAAAAGAACTATTTTCAGTCTGGCCCTCAAGGAACTCACATTTTAATAGGGGAAATAAAAAGATTTTCCTTGGAGAGGCAGCATAGCACAGGTTAAAAAGTGAGGCTCTGAAGCCAGATTGCCTAGTTTTAAATCCTGGTCCTGCTGCTTACTGTTTGATCTTGTACAATTTACTTAACTTCTCTGTGCCTTATTCTTAAAATGATAATAATAACATCATGTACCTCGTGGGATTATTATGAGCATGAAATGCATTAATACAAGTGCTTAGAACAGTGTCTAGAGCATAATAAGCATTCACTAAACTTTAGCTATTAATAAAGTGTGACTAATCTGTAAAGTAATATAAGTACTATACTAAAGTCATATAGAAAAAAGAAATTCAGCTGAGGACAATCAGGGAACTCTATCTGGAGGAAAGAATGCAAAATTTTGAATCCTGTAATTTGACACCAACCTGCCTTTTCAGTTTTGTTTCCTAACTCCTCTTTCCAATATACTACTCACACAAGAATTCTTGTTATCCTCTGAATGTACCTGATTCTCTCTCTACCATGCCTTTATTCCTACTGTTACCTCTGCCTTAAATGCTTTTCTTTCATAACCTTCAAGATACGTCTTAAATCCTTTCACTATAAGGATTTTTCAAAATCGTCTAAATTGAAATTAATTGCCTTTATTCATTCATTAGATAGCATGGTCTAATTTGGGCTGTGCAGTGTGACCTACAGCAAGTATGTGCTTCTGTGGGCCTCAGGTTTCTCCTCTGTAAAAGAGATAATATTTACTTAAGATTATTGTCGTTAAATAAAATGATATATGTAAAGTACCTGGCAAGTACTCAGTAGTGTAGGTACTCAGTAAGTGTTATTAACCCTTTCCTCCCCTCTCTTGAAGCCCTGTAATACAATCAGAAGCAAATCTAAGGAAAAGTCATTTAATCTGATCTCAATTTGAGGACATGGACAATGTTTATTTTTGTTTGTATCCCTAGCACCCAGCACAGTACCTGGCTTAGAGTAGCTTTTATTTGTTTGAGAGTTTAAGTTCACAGCTACTGGATGGCAGAGGTGGGCTAGAATCCAGTGCTGCATTGCCTGATGTTTAAGATGCTTTTTATTTAAAAGAACACCCAGCCAAATCTAACTGACATGGAGGATATTATGTAGATTTATGCATAGTTGAGGGTGTGACATTTATTGAGATGAGAAATAGCACCTTTTATTGATTGGTTTGCTCTTATGACACTAACCATTATAATGGGAAAAAAAAGATTTGTGATTTTAAATAGCATATCTGCTGAAAGCTCATATTTTTCTACAAGATATTTCTAGGGGTATTTTTGTAGTAGACTTGGGGAATAGTTTTAATAGGTTTAATTTAATAGGTTTAATTTCCTCCTTTTTTCTCCCAACATCTAATGCATATAGGCATTTGAAATATATGCAACAATAGCATTAATATGATGGGTAAATTATCACAGTCATATAACTCTTCCAGAATTATGTAAAGAACACTTATTAAACGGATGCTGCTTTAATTTGTTTTTCAAATTTATGAAGTATGACGGAACTCTTAGAACTGTAAATCACTATAAAAAGTTAAGTATCAACTGCAGTATTAATACCACCATGGCAGTGTATACTAGAAAAAACTTCAAAAGATGAAAGCCAAACATAATGACATTGTAGAGCTAAAAAGGCCCTCACAAACCTTCTAACTGAATTCACTTAGCTTACAAATTAGGAAATTGAGGGTATTTTCCTCAAAGAAAGCTTAATTTAAGGAATTGGAATAGGACTGTAATGTATTTCACATACATTGTTCTAGATACTGGAAAAGTAGAAACAACACACTCTTGTTTTAAAAATAATTCTATCTTTGTGGTGTAGACTAGTGCTTCTTGTTCCTTTTGAGATAACAGATAAAAGTTATGGTAGCATTTAACCTTGTCATATGAGCCAAGATTTAGCATCCAATCATATATATGTTCAATAAGAAATCTAACTAAAATGGTACATTTTAAACCAGTATCAAATTACAAATCAGAGCATAAAAACATCCATACAGTTGAATCTAGCCTTGGTCGACTATTTCTAAGCTACTCAGTTGCTTTGGCTATACTTTTTACTTCTGTAGTAGGTAAGTGGTAGAATGTGGAAAAGGTTTAAAACAAATCTTGGGAAGAATAGCTTAAAATTGAACAAGTTCTATTTGTCAGTTTACTTTTTTTTCCTTGCACATCAGAGAAAGACCATTGTTACTTGATTCTAGTAGAATAGTTTGAAAACCACTGTGCAGAGATGTTTTTCACTAATTTTCGCCTTTATTTTCTGGATTATTTTGATATTTTTGCTCAATTTGATTAATGTTTATGAGCATCTTTATTTATATGCCTCTGTTCAATACTGGACTTTTTAAGATGCAGCATAGGAGGTAGAATGCTATGATCTTTCCCTGTCAGGGCCTAGAGTTACTCTAGGATAAGATAGATAATAATAAACTTGTTGTCAGTACTTCTGTGGATATATGGTGTAGAGGATATATTAAGCAGATTTGGTTTGTGGATATGAAAAAACATTATGTGTATGCATAAACAAAGGTAGTGAATGTTATTATCTTGATTTTAAACATTTTAAACATTCAAATATTCATATTTTAAGTTTTTAAAATGGAATCTCTTATAAATCAGTTTGATCATTTGAAATGGTAATTGTTTATATGTGAAAAGTTGTTACTAAATTGATGGTTTGTCTTTCAATAGATGCTATTTTATAATTAGGGCAGTAAGATTATATACCAGGCTAGTACTAGGCATACCATATCATTTATATCATTTAATGTTTACGTCCCCATTTCACAGGTGAGAAAAATTTAGCCTTAGGTTAAAAACTACTAGCTTACTTACTAGTGGAACGAACAATAAGAACTTAAACTTCACATCTAGTGTGCTTTTCTTTTTTTTTTTTTTTTTTGTCTTTTTTCGTGACCGGCAACGGATTGCAACCCTCAGTGTCGCGCCCGTACCGGGCCGGGACCGGCCACGGGATCGCAACCCTTGGTGTTGTCCCCGCCCCTCGCTCAGCCAGTGAGCGGCCGGTCTGTATGTGGGATCCGAACCCTCGGCGGGAGGGCCACCGCACTTCCCAAGCAGCGCACTATAGCAGTGCGCCACCGGGCGGCCCGTCTAGTGTGCTTTTCAAACATCTGTTCGTACAACCCCTGTGTAAAGTCTTGTAGCTTAAGACTGAAAACTTCAGTCAATACAATTGATAGAGATAACTCATTTCATGTAAATGTTTCTGATAGTTGGACATGTCTTTTCATACAGGAGAGTAAGTGTTAGAGTGAGCATTGAACTACAATCAGTTTCTAATCCAGTTCACAGAAAGGTTGGTATTTATTTATTTATTTATTTATTTTTTAAAAGATGACCGGTAAGGGGATCTTAACCCTTGGCTTGGTGTTGTCAGCATCACGCTCACCAAAGTGAGCAACCGGCCATCCCTATATGGGATCCGAACCCGCGGCCTTGGTGTTATCAGCACCACACTCTCCCGAGTGAGCCACAGGCCGGCCCCTTTATTTATTTTTTGAAATATGATAATTTCTGTACATTGTAGGTAGTTATTTTTGTTCTTCTGTACATTGTAGGTAGTTATTTTTGTTCTTTAAGAATTTGAGATCTTTTGTTATGCCCATCTTTGCTTTTTAGTTTTGGGCCAATTTGTAACTGTTGCAGATTTGGGGTGGTGGAATCTACTGAGACAACAACTGAAAGATAATTATATGTTTCTAAAGCACACACAACGAATTGGGGGTTAGAATGACATTCTCCTTAGGTTTGTCCAGCGCACTTAAAAGTTCCAATAATATATATTGCTGACCTTATAGAATTGTCATTTTCTGTTGTAAAAGTGAGAACAGATAAAGTACTGCAGGGAGATATTCTTGAATCTTTTGCTTTACCTTTTGAACAGAAACATTTAGAGCATCAGTCATAGCTTTTTTTTTTTTTTTTTTTTTTTTTTTTTTTTTTTTGTGGCTGCCTGTTATGGGGGTGTGAGCCCTTAGCCCTTGGTGTTATCAGCACCACCCTCTAAGCAAGTGAGTTAACTGGCCTGATCTGTGTCATAGGTTTCCCTGAACGCATTCAAGGTCCTAGAAGTATTAGTAGTAGCTTCGTTTTTTTTTAAAAAAGTAGCATTCTGGAGTGAATTTCAAGAAGTATTTAAATAGAAACTGATTAAGAACAGGGCATTTTGAGGCAGAGCAAATACCCAGATTGCTAATTTTCCAGGGTAGAGATTTTATATTACACTTTTTACATATTATTCTTTATGCTAGCTGGACCTTTATCTATTTTCTAGCTCTACTCATAAGTGATTTAGATTTTTCTAGGACTCTAGCAGTTCGTCAGTAGCTGTGAGAAGATTTTATTTCAAACTGATTCTTAACTTGAATGCTTAGTTCTTTATTAGTCTTCCATCATCTTGTAATTATGTCCTGTTTTCCTTGCACCAATATGAAGAAACTTCAGAAAATTTATGGAAAGATTGTAGATTTGTATTATCTTTTAATTCTATTTTCCCATGAATTTTTTGAAGTACTTTCGTATTTTCTGAAGTACATAATTTTCATGTACTTTTCTGTCAGCTTTAGCTGCTGTGATGATCTGCTGCAGTACAAATTTAATGGCCTGGGATGTGGTTTTTTTGAAAGGTACCCACTTCACTTGAAACTGAAAACAGATGGGGTTCCACGTCAGTGGCCACCTAGAGTAGGAGAGAATAGGCCCTTTGGAAAAAGCCCTGGCATCCTGTCACCTGATACTTCTATCCTCTGCCTCATTGACAAAAGATCCTTCCTTTTCTAGGGTGGATGATTATTATTCCTGCTGATATATTTGCCACTTTTGAAATGCCAGACCAGTTATCTTGAGGGAAACTGAAAATGTATTGACTGTGGTATGTGCAGTGGTAAAGAATATTTTTGTCATGGTTTCGTAGTGCAGCAAAGGCTGGGTCCAAATTTCTGTAAGCCTCTGATAGGATGATATTCCTAAACTTTCAACTCCTAGCATTTAGTTGACTTCTACAGACCCCCATATGGCTCACAAGGAGCAGAATATCTACCCCTGTTTAAGATTGTAAGTCTCCAAAGACTAATAAAAAACCAGCAGCGCCAGAAAACAAAACTACTTGAAGTTTAACTGTGTTATTGGATCATTTTACTTCCAAGAAGGAAGAAATTACTCTAAAAGCTAGATCTACTGAGAACGTTAAAAAACAACACTCTTTCTTTTAGGATTTAGTTATCCGTCTGACTGATGATACGGATCCATTTTTCCTGTATAACCTTGTTATATCTGAGGAAGATTTTCAAAGGTAACTAAATTTTTTTTCTGGTCTTATGTTTAATTCAGGCATAAGTAAGTTTCTAAGTTTTTTCAATGTCTTGATACTGTTCTCTTTGAAACACATACCTATTAGGAACATTTAGTTGTGTTGGGAATACTGGGCTATTTGTACTGTAATTATTCAGGATTTTTTGAAAATAAATTTTTCATGGATAATCTGAATTCTCCTTAAAACAGCTCAGAATTTTGAACTTTAACTAAATTTATTGACCTTTTCCATCTTATTGAATAAGTTCTATAAAAATCCCTACCTAATTTCTTGGTTATAATGGGCATTCAGTAAATAAAAAAAGAATCTTAGGGTATTTATAATTAAAGATAGTAATTAGATTTTTTAAAAAATTTCTTTTCTTGTCTTTTAAATAGTTTAAAATTCCAGCAAGGTCTTCTGGTAGACTTCTTAGCTTTTCCACAAAAATTTATAGATCTCCTTCAGCAATGTACTCAAGAACATGCCAAAGAAATTCCAAGGTAAGTTACGTGAGGTCACTACGTTATTAAACTTCTTTCAAGACATGCTCTTTGAAGACGAGTTGATGGCAAAATATTCTACATGTACTAACATATAATGGAAATAATATTTAGGTTATAAGTATTCCTGTTTATTTTTAAAACTGGGATTACGACCCCATTAAATTTTAGAATTAGAATCAGAAACATTTATACCTTAATTTTCATGTTTTGAGAAAACCACCAAAGTTATCTGAAATATTTAGCAATGTCAGGTATTTTTTGTAATGATCTTGGAAAAAGGGAAGAATAAGATATTGTGTGTGTGTGTTCATTCATATTCTTGTGGTGCTAATACCTGATCCTTTCATTATAGAGTTCACTGTCAGCCTTTTATTTGTTGGTTTCATCAGTTGTTGATTGTTTGAATCAGTTATTTCGTTAGGAATTACAAAATGCTAAGTCTGTTATTCTGTCTATGTTTATTAGGTATAGTTCTATAAAGAAGAATTTTCCCTCATCAATGATGTCTATTTGATTACTCTGAAATTTCATATAGGAAAGGATAAATGCTTAATTCTTACTTTCAAATTATCAGAGTAAGGAGCTGGTACTGTACTTACTTCTGTAGTACTCATTGAGTTTTTTTTTTTTTTGTCTTTTTTTTCGTGTCCGGCAACGGATCGCAACCCTCAGTGTCGCGCCCGTACCGTACCGGACCGGGACCGGCAATGGGATCGCAACCCTCGGTGTTACGCCCACACCTCGCTCAGCCAGTGAGCGGGAACCAGTCTGTATGTGGGATCCGAACCCTCGGCGGGAGCGCCGCTGCGCTCCCAAGCGGCGCACTGTAGCACTGCGCCACCGGGCCGGCCCTTGAGTTTTTGTTTTTAGTTTTTGCTTTTTTTCCCCTCTCTGTCCCCCCTCAGCTGCATCTTGTTGTGAACTCATGGACTTTTATGTATTCACTTTGTTTGATCAGTGTTCATCTTATCTTTTACCATTGGGAATCCTTTCATATTGGCTTCTGTGTTTTTAATATACTTCCTTTCCTGATCTTTCTAAGTAGAGGAATTATGATTCAATGGGAGAGTTTCACTATCTTGTAAGTGTGTTATAATGTAACATTTTCTTTTCAAAGGTTTTTGCTACAGTTAGTTTCTCCAGCAGCTATTTTGGATAACTCACCTGCATTTTTAAATGTGATAGAGACAAATCCTTTTAAGCATCTTACACACCTTTCACTAAAACTTTTACCTGGGAGTGATGTGGAGATAAAGAAATTTCTAGCAGGCTGTTTAAAATGTAGCAAGGTAAGATTTAAATTTAAGTTATAAGTTATTTTTTTTTAAATAAGTACCAAAGGTCTTTGATAAATTAATGTATAGCTATATTGCCGTTAGTTTTTGTTTTCCAAATAAAGTTTTATAACATATAATGAACTTATTTTTTCCCTCCCTCCTTCCCCCACAAGAATTTATTTTATTGTTTTCATTTAGTCGAGATACAACAAGGATAGAACTGGACCAGGAATAGAGAAGCTTAGGTCCCAGTATTTTTAATAATTTTCTGTGACCTTGGGCAGATCACTTAAACATTTGTGTCATGGTTTCATCAGCTGGTAGATATCTAGTCCATCTTAAATGAGATAAAATATATGAAAGTGTCTTGGTAATTACAAAGTGGTATATAAGGTATATGGCACAAGGAAACAAAATGGGGATACCTCTTAAGAGTTTTTAGAAAGTCTTTTTAGTTAGATGCTGTAGATCAGTACATTTCAAAGTTGAATGGTATACAAGGGCCGGCCCGTGGCTCACTTGAGAGAGTGTGGTGCTGATAACACCAAGGCCACGGGTTCGGATCCCTATATAGCGATGTCTGGTTAGCTTACTTGGGAGAGTGTGGTGCTGACAACACCACGTCAAGGGTTAAGATCTCCTTACCGGTCATCTTTTTTTGAAAAAAAAAGTTTAATGGTATACATATCATCTGGAGATTCTGTTAAAATGTAGATTATCATTTAGAAGGTCTGAAATGGAACCTGAAATTCTGCTTTTCTAACAAGCTTCCAGGATGATGCTGATGCTTTACTTTGTTACACTGAGTAGCTTGGCTTCTGGGCTAGAGATGATTGAATTGTAAACTGCCTAATTTTATTTTTATAAATAGGAAGAAAAATTATCTTTGACGCATTCACTAGATGAGGTTACTAGGCAACTGAACTTCACACAAAAGGTAATTCAGATTTCATTTTCTCTTTGCAAGTCATCCAGATATTGGCTCTGAATTGCTTCTTGACTCAGGTCCAAGCTTTTGTGTATTATCTTTCAGAGCATGCCACCATTGAATTTCCTCTCCTTTTGCCATCCTTCCCTTACCAGTTAATTATCTTAATCTGATACTTTCTCTTTTAGATATTTTATTCAACCCAAACATTTTGTTTATTCCCAATATATTCCCTCCAGAACCTCATTAAATAAGATAATGTATAGTATTTGTCACATATTAGTTCTCTGCTCCCTTTTTTTCACCTCGTTCCTCTGTTGCTATCTTCTAAACCTTTCCCTTCCTTCTGTTATGTTTAGAATTAATTCCTCTGATAGACTGAGCATCATTTCAATCATAACTACTATATTTTTGCCCCTAGTTTTTGAAATGAGAGCCAAAGTATCTGATAAGCTTCATGGCTTCAGGCAGAAAATATCCCTGCACAACATGACCCTCTTGGGGACCATGTAACTGGGTTTTATGTATAATAGGTGAACTACTTTTTATGACCGACTTACTCAACCCTGGATTGCTTTACTTCTTAATGTCAGAGAGGATTGCATAGTGAAGAGCCAGATTTAACTAGTAGCTTAAATATAGTTAAACTTGACCTGTGGGCCATTTTAACTCCCAAATTGCCTTTATTCTAATATTGATTTCCTCAAATTAAAAAAATCTGTTCAGGAAAAGGCTTTGGGTATGTCTTGAAAAGCTGCACATTATTCTTTCATATCCTCGCAAATATCGCTATGTTCTAGTCAGAAGTATAACATATTCAGAAGACTGTCTTAACATTTTGTATTGAACTCTAATACAGACATTATCAGAAAAGATCCAAGAATTAGATAAGTTACGGAATGAATGGGCATCACACACAGCAGCACTGACAAATAAGCATTCTCAGGAACTGACAAATGAGAAGGAAAAAGCCTTGCAGGTAAGAATGTTAAAGGAAACTGGAAAAATAAAATTGCTTTTGGTCATTTATTAATTATAAAAGTAATTTATGCTTGCTTTAAATCTTTTAAACATTACAGAAGTATATAAAATAAAAATTAAAAGTCTTTCTTTAATTTCCAGAGATAATCTATAAAGACTTCCTACCCAGGAGATAGTCTATAAACCTTTTGATGTGTGTTTTTCCAGACTTTTCTCTATCTATATGTAAATAATATGCAATATATAAGTACTTATTTATAAATTTATAACCAAATTGTATAATTATAGCTGTATAGGTACACACATAGTGGGTTTTTGGTTTTCTTCTATACCAATGGGTCTTACTGGATATATTGATTGTAACTTTTTTTTCATTTGACATGATACTGACACATCATAGATGTCATTTTATATCAGTACAGATATTTATTTTTAGTGGTTGCATAGTATTCATTGTTTGAATGTAATTTAAATTATTTAACTTCTTACCCAACTAGAGCACATTTAAATACTTCAGAATTTTGTTTATTGCAAAACAGTACTACAGTGAACATCCTTTGTCCCTAGAAATGAGATTGCAACATATACATATAAAATATTGATGTATACTGCAAAGTTGCCACCCAAAAAGGTTGTACCAAATGGAATCTCAAAGATAGTGTATGAGGATACTTATTTCTGCACGCTCTTGACATTATTAACCTTCTTACTCTTTGCCACCTGATAGGTATTAAGGTTGTACTTATTTTAATTTATATTCCTTTTTTTTTTAGTGAAGATAAGCATCTTTTAATATAACTTTTGACTATTTTTATTTCTTCTCTGGATTACTTTTTAATATCTTTTGTTCCCTTTTTCTGTGTGATTATCATTTTCTATTGCTTTGTATTGTGGATTTCTTTTTTACTTTTTCTGTTATAGCTTTTTTAATATTCAATTTTATTTTTGTTTTTATATACTTTACTAGATGTTTCCTCCTAAGGGTATAGCTTGATGAGTTTTTGTGTATGTAACTTTCACCCAAATTAAGATTCAGAAAATTGTAGCACGTCTCTAGGGTCCCTTGTGTGCCTTCTCAATCCATATAATACTCCCATGGGAGGTCATCACACTTCTGACTTCTGTCATTCATTAGTTTTGCCTTTTCTTGAATTTCATATAAATGGAATCATATAGTATGTATTTATTTGTGTATGGCTTCTTTCACTCGGCATAATACAGTATCTTTGAGGTTCAACTATGTTCTTGTGTATTTCTTCTTATTGTCATGTAATATTCTATTATTTGACTATATCATTATCTATTTTCCTGTTTGTATGTATTTGAATTGTTTCTGGTATTTTACTACTATTATTAATTAAACTGCCGTGAACATTCTTGTACATGTCCTTTCGTGGCCATATGTACTCTTTTTTCTTGGGTATGTATCTAGGATTGGAATGGCTGGGTTCTAGTGTAGACATACGTTTAGCTTTAGTAGAAACTGCCAGTTTCCAAAGTAGGTATACCAGTTCACAGTGCCATTCTGTGGGTGAGTAATATTTTCTCATAATAATGAACACTTTTTCATATGCATATTGATTACTTGAATATTCTCATGTGAAGTGTCCATTCAGTCATTGCCCATTTTAAAATTGGCCTATTAGTATTTTTCTTATAGATTTGTAGGAATTCTTTGTATATTCTGGACATAAATCCTTTGTCAGACATATACATTGCTAATATTTTTGTCTATGGCTTGCCTTTTCATTTCTTAATGGTATAAAGTAAGTATATAATACCTTATCTATCATATGTATTATAAACATTTTCTCCCAGCCTGTCATGTGCCAATTACCAGGATCTTTGGCCTTGTACAATCCTTTTCATTTGAATGTCTTCAAATCTGTCAAACATTGCCTCTGTGGTTTAAGGTTTCCTTTCGTGTTTGGAAAGCCTTTGTCACCCCAAGGTTATGAAAAATATTCTCCAATATTCTAATATTTTTATAATTTTCATGCTATATTTAGCTCTTTATTTGGAATATATTTTTCTGGAATACAATATGAGGTGGGTTTTTTTTTGACATCAAGCAGTTGTTCCAATACCATATTCCTCCAGTGATTTAAAATACTACCTTTATTGTATACTAAATTCTTTTATGTATTTGGGCTTGTCTCTAGACTATTGTTCAGAACTGATATCTTTAGAGTTTTCTCATATAATGTAAAGATTTATTCAGGCCTTATTTGTTTAAAATAGGCTTATAGTTCACTCTATTTCCCTCCATCCCTTCTTTCCTTCTCTTTCTTTTACAGTGCTATTAAACAATGTTTTGGTCTAGGTATTTTACAGGTTTTTGCTGTATAAATAGGAGCATCCACTCCCCCACATCTGCCACTGTGGTTAAACTTTCTAATTGCTTATTAGTAGTATATATCAATGTCATATCTTTACTAAATTTATATATGAATTCTAATAGTTTTGGAGATGATTCTCTTAGTTTTTCCAGAAGATATATAAACTGTAAAAAATAGTAGTTTGTCTCTTCTTAAGATTTGTGTCTTTCTTTTTTCCTTGTTCAAAAAAGTGCTGAATAGTGGAATCTTTTTCTTGTTGTAGTCTTTTTTTAATAAATGACTAAAATGTCTCACCATTAGGTGTGATGTTTGCTTTGCATTTGAGAGAGTTTCCTTCTGTTCCTTGCTTCCTAAGAGTTTCAATCCAAAGAGTGCTAAGTCAAATGAAATTGTTTTTGGGTATCTAACCAAATAATCATATTTTTCTCTTTAATATAATAATGTAATAAATTATAACAGTAGATTTCCAAGTGTTGAACCATTTTAAAATTCATAGAATAATACTTAAAAATAGTCATAGGAATTTTTAATTCACTGTGGATCAATTCAGTAATATTTAATTTAGGATGTTTGTATTTATACTCATGAGTGACATTGGTCTGATATTGCCATTTTCCCCCATCTTACTGTGCTTATTACAATTGTGGGCTATAGACTATGGTATTAGAATTATGCTAGCCTCATGAGATGAATGAGAACATTTTCTAGTTTTCTCTATGCTTTGAATCAGTGAAATAACAAGGAATTATCTATTCTTTGAAGGTTTGATACAATTAGGCTTTTAACATCGTTTGGATCTGGTGCCTATTTGAGGCATTTATCTTTAAGTTGTTTCCCCATTTATTCCGTGATAATTGTCTGTTTGAATTTTCTGTTTTTTCTTGAATTAGTTTTGTTAATTTATATTTCCAAAAAAGCCATGCATTTCATGTGTGTGTTTAAATGTATTACCACAATATCATAATACTGTCTTTTGATTTTTTTAATCTCTATCATTTCTTTTATGTTCTTAATTCGTGTTTTATGAGACTTGCTGGTTTGTCTGTTTTTTAGTGTTTTTGAAGAACCAGTTTTTCATTTTATTAATTGTGTACTCTTTTTTCCTCCTATTTCATTAAATTCAGTTATTTACTACTTTTTTTTTTGGCTTCATTTTCAAGCAAGTTAGGTTCTAAAAGTCACTTCTTAAGTGTATTTGTTTGTAACTCCAAAGTGACTGAGGGATTTGTTTGCATTCTCTATTGCATTTTATAATAGGATTGTCAAGCAGTCCTTTGGGACATTAAAACCAGGCCAACATCTCTCTTCTTGCTGATAGATATTCTATAAGGCAGTGGTTCTAAAAGTTTAGTGTGCATGAGAATCACCTGGGGAGCTCATTAGAATAGATTGCTGAGCTCCATCCTCAGAGTCTATGATATAGTAGGCCTGGAGTGGAGTCTAAGAATTTGATTTCCTAACAAGTTCCCATGTGCTATTGATTATTCTGGTCTAAGGACCACACTTTGATAACCACTGCCATGAAGTACTGTTTCCCAAATTAGACCAATTTTGTGTCTCTATAGAAATCTGTTGGGGCAGGTAAACTGTCTCCTCCCAATTTTGAAGATTTCCCCAAATGTCATAGGGAACACAATAACAAATATATTATCTGCTTTTGCCACTTCTCAAGTGGACATTAAATCTGTGGTACCATCTTAGGGCATTTGAAAAGTTAGGGTAAATTTGATTCATGTGTATTTTGTTTTTCTTTATGTTTGTACTTATTTCCCATGTTTTCATCAAATCTCTACATTTTAATTAATTATTTATTTATTTATTTGTGGCTGGCTGGTATGGGGATCTGAACCTGTGACCCTGATGTGAGAAGGCTGTGCTTTAACCGACTGAGCTAACTGGCCAGCTCCCCTACATTTAAAAATAATATACTGAATAGTTTTAATCATTTCTACACCGATGTCTCTTTTTTATAGTATCTTCTTTTCTGTGAGGAAAGTTCTAGCAACAAATAGAATAACTCATCTTCCTTTTGTTTTATGTATTATTTTCTTGATTCTGACTTCTCTATTCAGTTTTCTACTTCATAGAATTTTCTACAGATGTTTGTTTTCCAATTCTTATCATCGTAAGTCCATCCCGAAACATATTTCTCACCTAATGTTTATCTAAGACTATTGCATGCTCTTCTGATTAAAACATCTATAGAATATTGTTTTGACAAATATTGACTTCACCTCTACAAATTCTCCCTTTTCTATTGGGCTCTATTACTTTTCTATAATTTTGAAACTCTCTCTCCAAAGATTATTTTTTTCCTTCAGAATGAAAATATTTTTCTTATATATATATTTTTTAAAATATTCAAGTGATTTAGAAATGAACAAAATAGAAAATATAAACCTCATAATTCTACCCCTTACACTTTTCTTTCTTTTTTTTTTTAAGACAAATCCCAAAAGTTCTGATGATCACTGGTATAAAATCAGTTTTGTATTTTCACTGCCTTTGCCCTCTTTTGCTTTTAGTGTCTTTGATTACCCTCTTAAACAGTTACAATTAGCATCTTTACCAGCTTGCTCTTTTTTTTGGTTTTGATTGCTTCTTCAGTGTTTTCTTCTCAGGTTGTCTATTCAATTTTATATGGACTCCTTCCTGTTTTTTCTCTTTTGTTCCTTCTCTCCTTTCCAGCTTTCCAAAAATGAGGGAATTTCTGGAGTAGTAATATAAAATTCTCAAAGTGTCTTATGAGAAGGACACTCTCTTGCCTTAGTGGTAGGAATTTTGAATAGGTACAACTTTTCTGTATTGCAGTTTTAGAACGTATATCAAGATTTATACTTGTCTATATTCTTTAACCTATAATCAGTCATAAGGAAATAAACTGAATTTTGGGTGTATGTCTGTGTGCAAATATATTAATCATAGTTTTATTTGTAATTGTGAAAAATTAGAAACTAAATGTCCTAGTAGGGCAGAGTTTAAATGAATTATGGAGTAGCCATGGGATGGAATGTTGTATAGCTATTAAAGTATTTACAAAGAGTTTTTTAGTGATGTAAGAAGGTATAAATGCTAAGAGAATAAAAAGCATGGTTAAATTGTATAAATAGCTTGATCTTAATTCATTAAATTTGAGTATGTATATTGTGTTTTATGCGGGACGTCAGTATAAATATATAAATGAAAGGAATACTCCTAAACATTAGGAATGGTTCCCTGGATGGATTAAGGGTTATTTGTGATTTAAGAGCATGTTTAACTTTCATAATCAGAAAAGCATACTTATTTTTAAAAGGTATTTAGGATTTGATAGTGTTCGTTAATAGAAATTGTTAAGATGGGTTTGTGGTATGATACAGGCACCAGAGATTGCACAGCTACAACCATCTTCAAATTTTATTTCTGGTAAAATGTCACTACTAAATATGAGATTGGTCTAATGAACAAAACTTGCCAATTTTACAATTTTAGGTGTTTTTTTCCATTGTAAAACATTATATGTACTGATTGTAAAAACTGAAACAATGTAATAGTGTTTAAAGTGAAAACTGAAAGTTCTTATGTAGTCGCTCATTTTTTTTTATACAAGTAGGTTCATTCTATATTTAGTATTTTGCAGTTGCTTTTTGTACTTAATCATATATCATTCTTTTCTTAACTTGAGGTCCATTACTTCTAAACGTATGTGGGTTTAGAAGAAGCAGAAATTATGAACAAGATTATGGTGGTAAATTTGCCTCTGTTTATCTACTTCTTCATGAAATCTATGATTGAAAATAGACCTTTAAAACAGGGAAATCTAATAATTATACAGAAGTTACAATTTTTTTCATCAAATCTTTTCAAATTTGTATTTCTGATTTTTTTCTTTGAATTTTGGTACTATATTTTTTTATATAATAGGCACAAGTTCAATATCAACAGCAGCATGAACAACAGAAAAAAGATTTAGAAGTCGTCCATCAACAAAATATTCACCAGCTACAAAACAGGTTGTCTGAATTAGAAGCAGCTAATAAAGACCTAACTGAAAGGAAATATAAAGGAGACTCCACTATTAGAGAACTTAAAGCAAAACTTTCTGGTGTCGAAGAGGTATTGCATGTTGGTCTCCCCTCCTCCACCCCGCCATTTGAAAGAACATTTTAATTTGGTCACTTTATTTTAATTTGGTTACTTTATTACTTATGTGGGTGGTATTTCTTCGGATGCTCTGTAAAGAACTTTGTGATGTTAGGGTAATCAGTTCAGAAATGCAAAGAAAATTGAGAATCTGAAAATTGATAAAAAGGGCTAATTTATAACAGAATGGAGGTAAACTTGGATGTTTTCAGTTAGGGTCTCCAAGAACAGCTTACTGGAATAGCTCTCAGATTTTTCAGGGTATTTTTAATATTAGCAGCATCTGTATCTCTTAGGGTACTCAGTGTTGACAGGGCTGCTGGTTCTTTCTTCAGCTACTCAACATATCAAGCAACTGTATGGCGTTCAATGTCCAGTAATGATAATGATAATAGTAATAGTAAAGATAATAGCTAATGCTTACTGAGCATTTGCTGTGTGATAGGCACTGCTTTAAGTGATTTACTTATATTAACATTTAATTCTTATAACAATTCTTTAAGGTAGGTATTATTATTGCCGCTTTACAGATGATGAAACTAAGGCACAGAGAGGATCGGTAACTTGCCTAAGATCACATAGCCAGTCAGTGGAAGAATGAGGATGAGAACCTACCTTGTTCTCTTAGGCAACAGAGAAGTTTTTTAAGTCTTGTAATAGTGGCACGTTTGTTGATGCTTTGGCACTGATGATAGACTTTCTTAGCATTATTATGTATTACTGTCATATGAATTATCAGAAAACATGTAGTTTTTTTGTTTATTATATTTAAATACAAAGATCACCAATATTATTCTCTAAAGCCTGACCAATTTTATGTTCAGATCCTCATAGCCTTCTGCTGGGATAATAGATGTCTTCAATTTTTCTCCTTAAACACTTCACCTTCCACACCAATTATTATAGTTGGTGTTAAACATTTCAGACTTCGTGGTTCGTTGGTAGTCTAAATGCTTAATTATAATGCTATATGATTTCTTATATTTTAGCCGTGAAACTGGCCAGTGTATATACAGACTTCTTTATGTTGGTTTTTATATAATCTAATCAATATTTCTTCCAGGATTTGTATTAGACTTACAAATTATGAGTCCTGGGAACTTTTTTTCTTCGACCTTTGAATGTTCTGTTAATTATGCTAAATTATACTTTTTAGGCATTAGTGCCCTAAAAATAATTAGTACCATTTATTTAGTATTTACTGTGTGCCAGCCAATGTGTTAGGCAATTTACATAAGGATTTTTGAGAAGATTAAATAAAATAATTTATGATGTAGTTGATATTATCTCTGTTTTACAAATGAGTGAACTGAGATTTAGGGAGGTTTAGTAATTCCCAAGATCACAGAGTAAAAGAGCCAGGATTTGAATTCTGTCTGATACCAAAGTCTATTCTTCTAAAACCACTATAGTATAATTCTATGAAGTCATTTTTAAAAATTTTTGTTAAAAATTAAAACTATCTGGGAGTATTGTATACTGGACTTTTGTGTACCAGCAACGTTTGGGTTGGTATTAGCTATTTGGGAAGTGACCTATTCTAGATTTATTAAATTCTATTTTTAATGAACAGATATTGTTTGCATGTTTTTGCCTTAATGAGTGAACCAAAAGGAAATCCAGAAATGTTAACATATTTGTTGACATGGGAAAATATTTGTAATATATTATGTGAAGAAGGTAGATTATAAAACTGCCCAGTATGAGCCCCCTTTTAAAAAAAGATCTGTACATATAGCCGACAGAAAAAAGTGTTAACTTTAGATGGTGGCTCTAACCCCTTAGAATCAGTTGGGGAGACACTGGAAAATTCTTGTTACTAGTTTTTTTAAAGTTGTAGCAATTTATTCATAAATCAGGATTGTTTTATATTCCCTTTATATGATCGAATTAGATAGTAGAGTATTTTACAACTGTATTCCAAATCTATGTTACACATATCATTAGAGAGATTTCTGGGTCTTTTGAAAAAATCTGTATTAGAAGTTTAAAATTATGAAAGACATTTTGGTTATTTTAAAAAACTTAACTATAAATAACCAGACCAGCCAACTTCTCTTTTTCATAATGCATAATTTCTTTTTTCTTGCCTCTAGGAGCTACAGCGGACTAAGCAAGAAGTACTCTCTTTGCGAAGAGAGAATTCTACACTAGATGCTGAATGCCATGAGAAAGAAAAGCATATTAATCAGCTACAGACAAAAGTGGCAGTTTTAGAACAGGAAATCAAAGATAAGGATCAGCTTGTTTTAAGAACAAAAGAAGCATTTGATACAATCCAGGAGCAAAAGGTCTGTTTTTAAATTTTTCTAAACAAATTGATGATCACATTTACAAGTAATGCTTTTCCAACACAACACATGTCCTAATTATTTATTTATTTATTTTTAAAAATCAGGTGGTTTTAGAAGAAAATGGTGAGAAAAATCAGGTACAACTAGGAAAACTTGAAGCTACAATAAAATCATTATCAGCAGAACTTCTGAAGGTTTGTTTTAAAAATTTAATAAAATATTAATATCTCATTAGATTATATAGAGATTTACATATGAAGTTCTTTACAGGCAAATGAAATTATAAAGAAGTTACAAGGGGATCTGAAAACTCTAATGGGTAAATTGAAACTGAAGAATACAGTTACTGTTCAGCAAGAAAAACTCTTGGCTGAGAAGGAGGAAAAATTACAAAAGGAACAAAAGGAATTACAAGATGTTGGACAGTCTCTCCGAATTAAAGAGCAAGAGGTAGTTAATATTTTATATTTTTGTGTTGTGACTATTTTATTTGTAAAGTATAACAAGCTTCCTGAGATGTATTTTTAAAATTTCTACTTTGTTGTATTAGAGAATGGCCTTGGCCTTTTTTTTTTTTTAACAAAAGAAGATGAATAGATTTAACAGAAGTTAATAACCTATTTCAGTTTGAAAAGTTAGTTATCATGATCTAAATACCTTGATTACACTTATATGAGTATATGTATGTATATTTTCACATGTAAATATTTTATTACATAGTTGAATTAATTCCTCTATTCTCATTCAATAATAGTAGTAATCATTTAATTATTTAATTAATATAACACATTTCTTCAGTTTTTATTTTAACTTATTTTCTTGACTTATTGTGAGGATTGACATATTTCAGGTATGCAAATTACAAGAACAATTAGAAGCTACAGTTCAAAAACTTGAAGAAAGCAAACAGCTTCTAAAAAATAATGAAAAGTGTGAGTATGTTACATTTTTATGTAAATGAGGCTTGTAGTTTTATTCATCTGAAAATTTTATTTGAATTCATAAAAGTGTAGGTAAATCAAGCTATTGGTACATCTGAATAATTTCTGCTTTAAACATACTGTTTTAACGTCTTTGCTATAGTAAGTTACATCATTCGCCCTGTAAGTTATCATCATTATAAAGGATATCATATCACATGTGTCAGTAACCCAAAATTAAAAGTGTTGAAAATACTGACTATAATTTATTGTTTAAATTCTTCACTACTTTTTTTTAGTTGCTGTGTTTATCTAATAGTTGTAATATGAATAATTTGAAACTAAAATATAAGATGAGGCTTTTAACTAACATTTTCCCAGTTTCTAATACTAGATATCAGACATAGGATTGCAAACTTAAACTGTAAGATATTCTAGAAGTAAAAGCTTTGAAAGAGATGCTTGAGTGGCAGAGACACGTACTTCTGAGAGTAATAGAATAAGGAATCCTATGTGGCAGTTGCTAAAATAAAAATCTTTAATGGCAAAAATTTAGGTGAACCTGTATTGTTCCCCTGTGATATATGGTAGTTATAAAAACTTAAAATTAAAAAAATCTTAATATAACTTTTAAATGTTAAAAATGATTAGAAAAGTAAAAAAGTCAAATAAAATTCTTTACCTTGCTTCTTGTTCTTTTATTTAAGTAATCACATGGTTAAATAAAGAGCTAAATGAAAATCAGCTAGTGAGAAAGCAAGATGTATTGGGACCTTCTACCACTCCACCTGCACATTCTAGCAGCAATACAATCAGAAGTGGAATTTCTCCTAACCTGAATGTGGTAAGATTTAAGAGATCTTAGGGTATTTCCAAAGCAACAGTATTCCCAGATTGTTAGGAAGTCTCCATGACTTAAGGTGCTGGCCCCGATACAAACTGGGTTCCTACAATTATTAGCATTGAAGTAGAGTTTCAGTTACCCTTGGAAGTGGGACATAGGTATACTTGCTCTTCACAAAGTGACTATATTTGAAGGACACACTTCTTTGTAAGACTTTACTGGGTATAGATATCATTCAGTACTAACTCTTTATTACATTACTTTTAATTCTAAATAAGTTGAAAAACTTTAAAATACACACATACACACACACATAATATTTAGGAGACTTCAAGAAGAGAGAATTCAGGTTTTGAGTTCAAGTTTGGAACTATGATGGAAAAAATGTAAACTGAATTCCATCAGAAAAAGAAAAGAAAGAAAAAGATAAGCCCTGTTAGCAGAATTGTCAAGTCTGGATTCTAGAAGAAACTGGTTAGAGTTGGAAGAAACTCTAGCTTCTAGCATGAGGTCTTTTGTGTTTTCCTTGCAAGAAATAAGTTGGAAGAATAAGAAAAGCAGCTCCTTATATCCAAGAGATGGCCTGGTGCTATGAGGTGGCTAAGCCTAGGTGCTGCTAGGAGCTTGCATAGCACACACAAGAGGGCCTTGGGGTTTTCCTGTAGAACATAACAATTTCATAGAATATCAACATCAGATAAGGTCACCCTGTTACTGTGATAGATCAGGACAAAAACGAGACCACTCCATAATCATGTCTGAACAAAGACAAAAATACGAACATTGCCAAACCACAAAAATGGCCAACCTTCCTCCTATCCTGGCTAACATGAGTGGCTGCTCCTTTACCAGTTACATCTTTGGCCTTAATACATTCCTCCTGCCTTCTTAGATAGGATTTATTCAGATACCCAGTCATATGTTTATCCCCACTTCCTAGTTGTTTCCTATCCACAGCAAAGCCCCACTTTCTTTTTTTTTTTTTTTTTTCCTTTTTGTCTTTTTTCATGACCGGCAACCGATCGCAACCCTCAGTGTCGCACCCGTACCAGACCTGGACCGGCAACGGGATCGCAACCCTCGGTGTTGCGCCCACACCTCGCTCAGCCAGTGAGCGGCTGGTCTGTATGTGGGATCCGAACCCTCGGCGGGAGCGCCGCTGCGCTCCCAAGCGGCGCACTGTAGCAGTGCGCCACCGGGCCGGCCCAAAGCCCCACTTTCTTAAACTTACACTTAAATCACCTAACATATGCCTAAATCCAATAAATAAATACTTTTTAAACAACCACTTGCTGAGACACCCCATTATTTCCCAGGGTGTGTGCAGTCTTAACTCTGTTGCAACGAGCAATAAACCAGCTTGTACATCTATAGTTGTGTTCCTGGTGGGTTTGGCTGGAGGACATTGGCAGAGGGTTTAAACTTCAGATGTCTAATTGAGTTTTTAATCTGCTTTGGTAAATCAGATAGTACTAGATGTCCGAAGAAGGGAAAGAATTGATGCTAAATTGGAAAAAGGTACAGAAAGAAGTACCTAGGGCTGAATTACAAGCTTGAAAAAATTTGACAGGCTTAACCTTGAATGACTGAGATGATAAATAGCTGTGAGAAAGGTATTTTTGTCATGCAGCCATTGGTGTACACAATTGCTTCTTATGATTTGTGTTTCAGTTGGCCTGTTATTATAAAAATAAACATTGTTTTCATGATACTGGTTAATGGTGGTTGCCACTATATTGAAAATTAGCGGCAAAGACAATTATTATCTCAATTAGTTCATTTAAGAGCACTGATCTTATTTTTATTTATTTATTTTTTTTAAAAGATGACCGGTAAGGGGATCTTAACCCTTGACTTGGTGTTGTCAGCACCACACTCACCCAGTGAGCGAACCGGCCATCCCTATATGGGATCCGAACCCATGGCCTTGGTGTTATCAGCACCGCACTCTACCAAGTGAGCCATGGGCTGGCCCCCAAACACTGATCTTATTTTTATTTATTTATTTTTTTTAAAAGATGACCGGTAAGGGGATCTTAACCCTTGACTTGGTGTTGTCAGCACCACACTCACCCAGTGAGCGAACCGGCCATCCCTATATGGGATCCGAACCCATGGCCTTGGTGTTATCAGCACCGCACTCTACCAAGTGAGCCATGGGCTGGCCCCCAAACACTGATCTTATTTTTATTCAGTCTGGCAGGAAATTATTTTTATTTTATCTCTCATTGGCCTATTGATCTAAGACTCTGCCCCTACCCCTTTTCAGGAGGCATAAAGTGAACCAAGATAGCTCAGAAGTTTTTGTTTTAACTCGGTTCAAAGGTGGGCCCAGTAGTTCTATCCAAACTTGCATAGCAACTCTAAAAAGCCTCTGGGCCAAAGATATCCCAGCTTTCTGCTGTATAATACAGTGGTTTTGTGGTGTCATGATAAATAAAATTGGCCTCTGAGATAATGCTCTTAACTATTAGTTACTAGAACTAACGCCTCCTGGATCAGCAAATACTATTAGAATTAATTTCTCATCCTTAATCATTTTTATGTTTTTATTTTTAGATTGATGGTAGACTGACTTACCCAACTTGTGGGATTGGTTATCCTGTCTCCTCTGCGTTTACGTACCAGAACACCTTTCCTCATCCAATGTCTTCCAAAAATAACATCCAACCGGTTTCAGGACCAAAGGTAGCCAAATTAACTAGTACTGTTTTTGGAAAAATATAGCAACTAATTAGCACACAAATATTTTTCATCTTTTCAAAAGTTCACTTATTCTTTGGTCAGTTGCTAAGTATTAGGTAATAGATGAATACATTACTCAATATCTAGTATATATGCTTATAGGAAATATTGTATGTACTATACTTGTATATTTCTTGAGTCACTGTAATGTATAAAAAGATTGGACACCAATATGCTTAAACCCTTATTTCTATTCAATCTCTCCAGTTTTGTTCATTCTTCTACTTGAATCTCCTACAACTCTCAATCCTAATGAGAATTACTGACTTCATACTGCTAGCATATTAGCTGTGGTAACATTTTTGGATTCTATTATCAAAATTTAAAGGTCTGGTGTTGTGTAGGCTTTTCGCAAGTTTTGAAATGTAGTTCTGGCAACATTATCTCAAATAGTATATGATAAGCATTTCCTCCAACCCTTGATTTACTTGCTAAGGCTTTTTTCTGTCCACTTGACTTCATCATCGTTATTACTAATGTCTTAGAATTATATATTGTTTTCATATATATTATAATTTTATTTTCACAATAATTTAATCCATTTAGATCAGTGACTGCTTTTATTTTCATTCCTAACTTTAGGTCCAAACTGTGTTTTTCCTACATCATGGAGACAAACATTTATGAAAAGAATATTTATAAAAGGTAGATGGAGGACTTTGAAACTAGTATTATAAACTCTTTATAAAAGTAGGTATGGGTTGCTCTAAAAATAAGTTAGCTGTGTTGCTTAGGCATGGGCTTCTTTTTAGCCATACTCTTACTGATTATTTGGAGCTATTGAGAATTCTCAGTGAAATGAGGATTAAGCCTGACTTTTTATGCTTATAATACTATTTTCTAAAGAGTATTTAGATGCATTCAATTGGCTCTTCTTGCATTGCTTATTAAGGAGAATTAGATTTGTGCGATCAAAGGGGTACTATTGTTTTGTAATAAATATCAGTATACTGAAGCGTGATTGCATCTTGGGACCATTTTTTTCTCTTGAAAATTATGATTGAATACACAGTTGTTTTTCACTTTAAACATCTTTCCAGGCATATATATAATGTCCAAAATGAGGACAAGAGCTACTATAGACAGTTGCCTAGTTAGTAGGACTAAATATGAATTATAAAATAATATTACCTTTTTTTTTTTTTTCTCCTTTTTGTCTTTTTTACTGACCGGTAACGGGATTGCAACCCTCGGTGTTGCGCCTGCACCGCGCTCAGCCAGTGAGCGGGAACCGGTCTCCACATGGGGTCCGAACCCTCGGCGGGAGCGCCGCCACACTCCCAAGCGGTGCACTCTCCAGTGTGCCACTGGGCCGGCCCAATATTACCTTTTTTTTTTTGTCTTTTGTCTTTTTCCATGTCCGGCAACGGATTGCAACCCTCAGTGTTGCCCCCGTACCGGACCGGGGACCGGCATCGGGATCGCAACCCTCGGCGTTGCTCCTGCGCCTCGCTCAGCCAGTGAGCGGGAACCGGTCTGTATGTGGGATCTGAACCCTCAGGCGGGAGCGCTACCGCGCTTCCCAAGTGGCGTACTTATCCAGTGCGCCACCGGGCCAGCCCCCAATATTACCTTTTTTAAAGGTCTTGTGGAACCAAGGGTCTTGTTAAACATAGGAGCAAGACTTTCAGTATTTTGTATATCATTGATCTCCATATTCCTATGATCATGTATTCCTAACAGTAAAAAAAAAAAACAAAAAAACCCCATAAAACCCTGAAACAAACAAAACACTTTGAGCTTGGATCTCTAACACATCAAATTTATTTATTTGTGAATTTTATATATGTACTACCGAACTACTGTATTATATACAGTATAATTTAGTGGTTAAGAAAGTGAGGTCTGATGTTAGGATTTAAATCCTGCCTCTGTCAATGTGAAGTGAGGCATAACCACTAAAAAACAAACCAAAAACAACCAACTCACATGCTTCAATTTCCCCACTTGTAAAATGGAGCAATAATTTTATTTACCTTACTGAGTAAGGCTTATTGAGTTTAAGTGAATTAAGGCATTTGCTTTGAATAGTGCCTGATACATGATAAGTGCTCCATAAATGTTATTTGCTATTATTAATATTAAAATGTATTCAAAAATAGAAATTAAAGAATGAGATTAAAAATGGATATAAATCAAAGTTATAAGATTTTCTTCTTATACCACTAATCACTGCCGACTTAGGTGACCATTGAACTTGTTCGTTTTGTGTTAGCAGCTATGGCAATTAAAACATGTTCGTTTGAGTTGCAGTTAAAAGATCACCATTTTATTTCATGACATGGAGTCTGTGATATATAACTGATGTCTTAAAATGTTATTGTTGAGATTTAGTATGTTCAATTAGATGTTTAACTGTGAGGATGTGAGATAACATGAGGAGTTAAATTAGGCAAGAAACAAAATCATGCTGAAAGAATACAGTAGTTCCCAACTGCTTATCCACAGGGGATATATTCCAAGGCCCCCAGTTGTATGCCTGAAACTGCAGATAGTACTGAACACCATATAAATGCTCTACCTGCGATGGGGTTATGTACCAATAAATCTATTGTAAATTGAAAATATCATGAGTTGAAAGTGCATTTAATATACCTAACCTACCAAACTTCATAGCTTAGTTTAGCCTACCTTTAACATGCTCAGAACACTTACATTAGCCTACAGTTGGGCAAAATTATCTAACACAAAGCCTATTTTATGATAAAGTGTTGAACATTGCATGTGATTTATTGAATACTGTATTGAAAGTGAAAAACAGAATAGCGATATGGGTACTCAAAGTACGGTTTCTACTGAATACTTATCGCTTTCACACCATTGTAAAGTTGAGCCATCTTAAGTCAGGGACCGTCTGTTTATACTATATTTTTTCCTATACATGCATATCTATGATAAAGTTTAATTTATAAATTAGGCACAGTAAGAAATTAACAGGGCCAGCCTGTGGCTCTCTTGAGGGAGTGTGGTGCTGATAAGACCAGGTCAAGGGTTAGGATCCCCTTACCGGTCATCTTTTAAAAAAAAGAAAGAAAGAAAGAAAGAAATTAACAACAATAATAATAAAATAGAAAAATTAAAACAATATAGTGTAATAAAAGTTATGTGAATGTGGTGTCTCTCTCTCTCTCAAAATATTTTATTGTACTGTACTCACCTATTTTGGACTGTGGTTGACCCCAGTGACTGAAACTGCAGAAAGTGAAATCATGGATAAAGAGGGACTACTGTATATGGGTATTTAAAAAGATTGTGCTGTGCTGACAAATAGAAAGAACAAACACTTGATAATTTTAAAGCAAAATAGACAAAATTACTTATTTCTTCTCTTTTATTTTTGAAGACAATAGTAGCCAAGGATTCAGTCATTCAATAAAAATTTGATAAATGTTTACTATGGCCAAGCATTGTCCTAGTTGCAGGAGATACAGCAGTGAACAAGACAAAGCCCCTGCCACTATGGTGCTTGCATTTTGTGGTGAAACACCATTATAGTATTTTTCAAACTAAAATGTTATTTAAAAAGAGATGTTATTTGATATCAAAGAAAATACTTATGATACAATCTTTTGGAATAAATTCTTGATGCGCAAGGTCAAACATGATTAGGTTTCATGGAGGTAATTATGAGGTGTATGAGAGATTTTCTACAATGAGAAAGGACCCAGATGATTGATTTCTTTATCTTCCTAGAGTTTGGCCCACAGTGTGTATTCAGAGACAGATTTTATCTAGAGATAGAATCACTCAGTTTGATTAACTACCTCATTTACTAGATGGTTCTAAATTAATCTTTTGTTTATTTGGTATTAACTGTTTTTAAAAACAGATAATGTATGAGTATAGGAAGTTTCCAAAGGTACAAGAAGATATACTCTCTAAATGTCCCTACTGTGGTCCCCAGTCCTCTCCTTGGAGAAAAACACTGTTAGGAGTTTCTTGTGATATATTCCAAAAGTATTCAAAGCATATACAAGAATATGTGTGTGCACATATATTTGTATGTATGTTCATATATATGGGTGTTTGTATATATAAACATAAATAGTACATGCCCAATGTTCTGTGCCTTGCTTTTTTCATCTAACAATATTATCATGGACTAGGTTTGTTTCGGTGTATCAGAATGTAAGTATGTGTTTATTTTTTAGTGATCTCATAGTATTCCAGTATATGATGTAATATAATTAATTTAGGTAGTACTCTGTTTACAGGCAATTAAATTCTTTTCAGTCTATGTAGTCATACAATGCTCCAGCAACTGTCTTTGTACATATGTCTCTGTAGCCTTGTACAAATAAATTTGTAAGATAAATTCTTAGAAGTAACTGGGTCAAAGGCATTTTGTCAATCTAGTGACTGAAGCAGTATCTTATGTTAATCGACATTTCCCTCTTATTAAAATGAGAAACATCTTTTTATATATTTTGGGGTTATTTCCTACTTTATGAAATTCCTGTTCATTTCTTTTTTATTTGGAATGTTTAACACTTATGACTTCTTAAGTGTTCTTTATATATTCTGTACACTAATTTGTATTGCTTTTATGTGCTGTTATTATTTCCTACATTATTTTGCCTTTCCCCCACCCCCAATTTTTGGTTTGTCTTTTTGCCTCCTTTTTTTTAAATTTAAAGCTTTATTAAGGTAGAATTTCCATATCATGAAATTCTTCCATTGTAAGTTTATAGTTTAATAATTTTAGTTTGCTTATAGAGTTGTGTAACTATCACCACAGTCCCGTTTTAGAACATTTAAGTTACCCCAAAAAGTTCCCCAGAGCCTGTTTGCAGTTAATCCACACTCCAGCCCCCAGCTAGGCCACTACTGATGTGCTTTCTGTCTTTATAAATTTGTATTTCTATATTTCATATAAAAAGAATCATACAATATATAATTTTTTGTGTTTCTCTTCTTTCACTTAGTATAGTGTCTTTGAGGTT